CCCCAAAACCCCAAAACCCCAAAACCCCAGTTTTATCTTAAGATATTGAAGATAATAAAATTAATTGCTTTTAGTATCTTTCTTCATCTTAATCTTGGACTCGTAGAAATCACACACAAGTTCAATATTGTTCTTCTTCATCTCTTGGACAGTACAAAAACTTTTGTCAGGAATGATCCCGTCTGGTCTTTCTTTCCAAATGACGTAGGCTCAAAACTCGTTATTAATGACTTTCATCCTTTCGATTTTCAAGGGAATATCAGTCTGGAGGCTTCCTTCAGTGGTATCTGGGACGGCTGTGCTTGGCTGGGATTTGACAGGAAGGATCTTCTGGACTGGCTTTCGCGACTCTTTAGGATCTCTCTTCTTAATATTGAGTCTGATCGTGTCTTCATCGTCTTGCGATGACTGCGACTCTTTGATAAGCATTGGTTTGGATGCCTGTGCAGGATTGGTAGGCCACTTTGGAATTTTTGAAGCCACAAGGGAATCCTTTGAAGCTTTTCTAACTTTAGGAGCCTGGTTAGAAAGTTTTCTTGTTTTTGATTTTCTCAGCCCTGAGAGGCTTTTTCTCAGAGGTTTTGGGTTCTTGGCAATGTCAAAATTTTTACGTAAAGGCATTGATTTGAAGGGAGATTTTGAATGGAGAGTCTTCCGTCTATTGTTTCTTTCCTTTTCTTCTTCATATATTTTATTCCGTTTCTGCTTCACCGGTGGGTCTATTTTCTTAAGCTTTCTCTTATTCGACGATCACTTCTCTTTCTTAACAGAAGGGAGGCTTTTTCGTCAAGAGGAATTATCTTTTCTAACAGAAGGATTGCTCTTCTTCAAAGTGGAGGGCTTTTTCTTGAAAACTGTTGCTCCCTTGTTGATTCTCTTTTTACTAGTTTTCTTTCTCGATCCAAGTCTTTTCCTACCATTTTTACGATCAAAAGAATCATCCATAAAGTGTCAGTTATGATTTTGACGGTTTCTATTTCTCAATAAACTGGTTTATTAGATGGAGGTTGGAGCCAAAGCTTGCCAATGGTTCCCATGTATTCTGACTATGAGGGTACCCTTCCCATTTGACTAGGTATTTCTCTTCCCCATTGATAACAATGACGTCAAGGATCTCTTCAACATTGTAATATTGCTCTGTGGAGTCTTCAGACTGTCAGTTTTCGTCACTTTGGTCGTTATTTTCGATTTCTGAATTTTCTTCTGAAGTTTTGATAGTCAACATATTTCTTGTGTCTGTATTAGAAATTTATACAACTGAGAAAGGGAAAAGCGTGCTTAAGACTTAGAGTAGACTCTAAATTTTGGATTGGTATATATTAGCAAGATATTGTTTGATGTAAATTTCAATATAAAGGATATTATTTGGGGTTTTGGGGTTTTGGGGTTTTGGGG